CAAGGCTCAGCTCAAATGCCACCTCCACCACAAAGTCTTCTATGATTCCCCCCTCACTTCCCACTTTCCCAAGTGCTTTCTCCCTTAGCTCACGTTAGTACAGTGCCTGGCACAGAGTAGACCCCTCATAAATGCCTCCCCCTCCTACATTCTCATCACACCTTGTACCTCTCCCGTGCACTTAGGGCCTGTATTGGCACCATGGGTGTTTCTGCCATATTATCTTCCTTGCTAGACTTAAGCTCTTGAAAGAGAGGACTCTGTCTGACTCATTTTTGCATCCCCCCCAGCGCCCGGTGCAGCCGTATTAAATGGAATGGAAGCATGTCACTGTGACTTGGGTTTTGCTGCCTCCTAAGAGTTTCATTCCCAGGAGGGACCCAAACCCTGGTGTTTTTTTTTTTTGTTTGTTTGTTTTGTTTTTAAGGAGGGAGCGCTCTTGCTCTCCATCTGAAATAGCCACCTGGCTCAAAGCCTGACCCTCTTGGCCAAGGAAGAGGGTGGCAGTGCAGGTTCAGAAACAGGTATTTCAGCAGATGTGTCTGTACTTGTTCATCATGTCCCGAGACAGGCTCATTGGATATGTTCAGCCTAAGTATCAGGAAACAGAACAGGCTGAAGCATCTCAAGGGGGCCCTGGGCTGAGATAGGGGCATACTTGTATGCAGACAAGATTAGAAGTACACAGACCAAAAGTGGTTTTGATAACACAATGTAGTGGAAAGAATACCAGCCCAGAAAGTCAGGAGACCTAGGTTTGAGTCCTGACTTTGCCATGAGCTAGCACTGTGACCTTGGGTAAGTCATTTCTCTGTGCGCCTTAGTTTCCTCCACCTGTTAAAGTGACTAGATGTTCTCTGAGCCACATTCTAATTCTAAGTTTCTAGGAATTGATGTCTTGTGCTTTCAGCAGAGCCATAACTAGCAATTCGGGTGCCTGGGCAAGAGAAATTCTGTTGGGAGGGGAGGGTAAGAGTGAGACCTAGAACCCAGGAATCTATGGGACTGAAATCCAGTGATTCTTATCCAGTAGCTTCTTATTTTAGTTAGTTATTCTTGCGCGCATACACACGCAGTACTCATCTTAATTGTTCCTACCTGCTAAAGGAGTAGAATTGCTATCAGTACCCTCTAAATAATTTGGCGACATGGGTCAAAGCTCCAGTTGTGCTGCCCTCATTATGGCTTAGTATTGCTTTTGGCTGAGAGTATTGGGTAGCAGTATAACTGGCCTTTTTACAGAGGTGAGGCCAGGTACTTGCCACCAGGCTTTGCCAAATGAACAAATGACCTTTTCTTAACCCATTTCTTCCAGTGTCTCATTAACTGTGTTGGAGAGTGAGACCCACTTTGAAGCCAGCTTTTACAGACTAAAAGGTCTGTTGATACTAGAGCCTAAGCCAGTTTGAGCTGTAGGATGCCACTAGTTACTACTTGTGATTGTATGGTATTTTATTAGGTGTCCACTGAGGACTGCACACTTTGTCCAAAAAAGAAATCGAACCCTGAGAGAGGGACCTATCTGCCAATGCACGACACCTTAAACAGGAGCACAGTAGGGGTATCTGTGGGTCCTCCAATGCTCCTTTGAGGGTATGCTGTTGGAGAAGATGTCATCATCTCTAAAATCTATGGAAGGGGATCTTCTCCTGAGCCCACCAGGGGCAGTGTATTCCCCTATCTTGGGCCAAGTGCCTTAGAGCCTCCTGCGTTTGTGGTCTCTGGGAAAAACAAGCAGCCCAGAGTATGAACAAAGGCAGGGCTGGCCCAGGGTCTTATTAAACCGGGTGGTAGCCTGGGCTGCCTTGTGTTAAGAGGTGTCCAAATTGATATACCTGAAAGAAATGGTGCATCTCAGGAGCACCAATCAATATTCACTTAGTCTGAGGCCCCAGCGTCCCAAGGGCTGGGCACAGAGGGGCAATGGAGGTTTGAGGACCTGGGTTCAAATCTCAACCTCACTCTTTAATAACTCTGGACAAGACAACCTCTCTGGGCTTCATGTGTCAACGGAGGGGCCTGGAGAGGACCTCAGTGGTCCTATCTGGCTCTGAATCCTGGAATCCTATATATGGATGGGGAGCCGTGGGCCTGGTGGGCATCTTTTTAAGCAGGCCCTTCTCATGCATCCTCCAGACACTCCTTTCAACTTGGTGTGACAGGCTTTGTTTCTTGCTTCATGTCCAGCCCAGAGAGCTGGGAAATGAAACTCCATGGCGGTGGCTTTGCATGTTTCGCACCAGACTTGTTAGGACCTGAGCTCTTGTACTTTAATTAGATCCCTCCCCAATCCACAGACCTGCAGATGGGACAGGGTGCCAGGATGATGGACCGTCAGTGTAAGAAGGACCAGGGCAGACTTGGAGCCTAGCAATGCTTGGAAGGCCTGGGCTTGTCTTTGTTGTAAATCTTTCTGCAAAGCTAAATTAATGAAATACAGTATGATGTAGTCCTGAGGTATCCAGCTCAGACCACAGGCAAAATTACAACCACAGAGTGTCCCAAACCCCATTAAAATGTAACTGGGAAATGTTTAACAAAATAAATAAAAATATGGTAAAACATAATGTTAATTTGTGGTTTTCTAAGTCAATGGGGACCCATTTCTTTTTGAGTTTGAGATCACTGGTGGTGTTGAAAGGGCCCTGGATTTGCTCGAATCTCAACTCAGTTGCCTCATCTGGAAAATGTGGGAATTAGAGCACCTGTGCTATTTATATCATGAGGTGGTTGTGATGAAAGTGCCTTGTAATCCTGACGGTATTACAGAAATGTCAACGACAATTGTTATTATAAACAAGATCCCATGAGAATGTCTTCTTTGGTAAGGTACCACCCTCAGGTTATGGCAGAACAGTAATCAGGGTGGTAATGAAGCAGCTCACATCTCTTCAGAGTTTTACAGTTTACGTCGTAATTCACCACAACCCCTCAAGGTAGGGAATGCAAAGATTATTATCCCATTTTACACATGAGGGGCCCTGAGTCCTGCCTCAGTGACTTGTTCATTTTCTCACGTTTTGGGTCAGCAAAAGTGATTGAGCCTAGATTGAATCCAGCTCCATTGATTTCAACTTAGTGGTCTTTACATGGCGTCCCAGGTCGTGAAAATGAGCTGAATTTTTATTTATTTATTTAGGTCCCAGAAACAGGATTCAGATCCCAGTTCTGCCTTTTAATAACTTCTGGAACCCTGAACACATCTTCCTAGGCCTCAGTTTTCTCATCTCTAAAATGGATGAGTTGGACTAGGAAGCCTTTGAGCTCCATTCCAACTATGGACTGTCATCTCTGGAACTGTTACTGATGGTGAAAATAAGAATACTTTTGAAGTGAACTTAGCTAAATGAGAGAGAGAGAGAGAGAGAGAGACAGACAGACAGACAGACAGACAGACTATTTCCCAGCCTCGGGACCTCCCACATCCTGTGCCTACTCTGAGACGTCCCTGGTTGTGTGCCTGCTGATCCCCACTTCCTATGTGTGACTGCATTCCAACCATTAATAAAAGTGTCTATTTGTACCAGAAAAAAAAAGAGCCGTGATTGTATTTGGGCTGACCAAACAAGGCACACAGCACCTGCCCTGGGCTACTGCTTCTGGGGGTACCTGTACTCTCACCTTTCCAAAGGGGGTGACAATGCCATGGGGTTGAAATTATCCTAGACTGAAGAAATAGAAGCATTCTGTTAGAACAGTGGCAAAACAGAAGAATTTTAAGTAGACAAAATTTACAGAATGACTAATTCTTAGAATTTTTCTTTTTTTTAGAATTTATTTAATTCTTAGAACTCATTCAATTCTTAAAATGTATTTCTTTTAATTTTAGTGTTATTATTTTTACAATTACCTAAGACTATAAGATGCAGAGAGCCTTGGATATAGAATTTTGTCATCTGGAAGTTTCCTGTAGCAATGAAATAAGGTCCTGTCCTTATCCCTTCTGTTTAAGTTTTAAGTATTGTTGATACTGGGTGGCTATGTGACACAGTGGACAGAGTTCCAGGCCTGGAGTCAGGAAAACCTGAGTTCAAATATGGCTACAGACACTTATTAGCTGTGTGACCCTGGGCAAGTCACTTAACCTTGTTTGCCTCAGTTTCCTCATCTGTAAAATGAGCTGGAGAAGGAAATGGCAAATCACTCTAGTATCTTTGCCAAGAAAACCCCAGATAGGGTTATGAAGAGACAGACACAACTAAACAACAAACAAATTATTGATACCATTTTTCTTCTATGACATCGTTGTTTCTTTTCTTTTCTTTCTTTTTTTTTTTTTTTTAAAGGCAATCAGGGTTAAGTGACTTGTCCAGGGTCAGACGGCTAGTGAATATCTGAGACCAGATATGAACTTAGGTCCTCCTGACTCAGGGGCTGCTGCTCTATCCACTGCACCACTTAGCTGTTGCGACATCATTGTTTCTTAATAAACCCTCACCCACCAATGAACTCGCCCGTGTTTAAAAAAGCGGGGGGGCAAAGTACACAGTATTCTGTACCCATACTCCCATCTCATGCCTCTGCCATCTACCAAAATATGCTTCATCCTATTATCCATTTGGTCTTTGCTTTTTAAGATCATGTTATTAGAAAATGACTTTAGGAGATTTCTTAATTTTGTCTAGTAAGACCCTTGTATACTCCTTCTAAAAAATGCTTAGTGAATTCTCACAATGGCAAAAACACATTTGGCTTCTGGTGTCTTCCTCATTTTGGGAGACTGATGCTTGCGTCAGCCTGGGCGGAGGTCTGCTTCATAAATCCTGCATGCCCTCGCCACATTCCACACGCGGACGAGAGAATGAATGATGGCGAAGGCAGCAGACCCCGTAACCTCCTGGCAATCGGGCTCAGCTTGTGGCTATGGTGGAAGCAGCTGTGTTGAGGGGGGCACCTCAGTAAATATGGAGCCATTTCAGAAATGTTGTCTTGTCTCAAGTTATATTTTTCACAGTCCAGAGTCCTGCTCATATTCATTCTCATTCTCTCTTTCTCTCTAGCCACAATCAGCAGACCACAGCGTTTAGGCATCCTGTGACTGGACAGTTTTCTCCAGAAAATATTGAATTCATTCTTCAGGAAGGGTAAGTACTGTTTTTTTCTATTCCTCTTCTCTGAGGATGGTCCATCAGCTTGTGGGAAGGAAAAAAACCAAGTATTAAGAGCCCACTGTGTACCAGGCGCTATGCAAAGAGCTTTACAAATATTGTCTTATTTGATCCTCACAGCAACCTGGCATGTAAGGTGCTGTTATTAGCTCAAAACAAAATTTGGCTGCTTTTCTCTTTCTGGGAAAAATGGGGTAGGCTAGTCAATTAAAAAAGGGTGAAAATGGAAATCTTGCTAAATTGTGGAAGTAGCAATCTTGAGAGGGTCAGGGAGGGTGAGGCCAGGGATGTGTATGTGTATTGGGGGGGGCAGTATTACACTAATGACCCCAGAACTTCTTAAAAAATTAAACCTGCCAACCAATGGAGCACCAACCACACACACCCTGAGAGTACTTGCTGGGATAGTGTTATTTTAATTAATTTAATTTTTTCATAAGTATTTCAAGTGCCTGTCAAGCCTGTGGATCATGCTTTGAAGTCCCTGGTCTTAGATGTTTAAGAGAGAGAGGCAGGCAGGAGGGTTTAATGGCTAAGGCACTGAACTTGGAGTTGCAAGTCCTAGGTTTGAATTTTGCCCCAGACGCTCATTGACTTTGTGACCCTGGGTGGGTATGTAACCTTTGTGGACCTGTTACGTCATTGGTAAAATGAAGATATGGGACTTTTGTGACCTTTAAGGTCCATTTTAGCTCTAAATCTCTTATCCTATGAGCAAAGGATAAATTTTTAGTCAGATCTGCTAGAGCAAGAGTTTTAACCCTAAAGGAAGGATGTGACCATGAAGTGCCTACTGTGTGCTGGCCACTGTGCTAAGAGCTTTACAAATATTATCTTATGTGATCCTCACAATAATCCAAGGAGGTAAGGTGCTATTATTGTCCCCATTTTACAGTGGAGGAAATTGAGGCAGTCTGAGGTTAAGTGACTTGTCTAGCATCACAGAACTGGTAAGAGTCCATAGATAACGACATGAAGTTCTGTGAACTTGGTTGGAGGAAAAAAAAATGACTTCTTTATTTTCATTAGCCTTTGGTTTTCTTTGCAATCCTGTGTGTTTTATTTAGTGTGCTTAAAATTCTGAGAAGGGGTCTGTAATCTTTACCAGATTGCCAGAGGGGACCAAAAAAAAAAATCAAGAGCCCTTGTATGATAGGAAGGTCTGGCATGGTGGGGAAGAGTGGCACGGTGGTTGGGGTGGGGGTGGGTTGTAGTCAATGGACTTTATGGCATTTATAAGTCGTGTGACCTTGGTCAAGTCACACACCCTCCATATGCTATAGGTAACTTCTTAGTACTTGTCTAAGTCATGGGTAGTTTTTTATCTCTGCTGGGGATCACATTCCCAAGACAGGAGTTCCCTTCGTTGGCAAAAATCTTAGATCCTCTGAGTAGTTACATAGCTCATAAATTTGGAGCCTGAAGGGACCTTAGAAGTCACCAAATCCAACCCCTTCATTTTTCAGATGAGGAAACTGAGCCTTATGAATGGCGCTAGTTGGCACAGTGGATAGAATGCTGAGCCTGGAGCCAGGAGGACCTGAGTTTGAATCCTGCCTTGGATACTTACTAGTTCCATGACCCTGGGTCACTTAACCTCTGTCTGCCTCTGTTTCCTCAACTGTAAAACAGGGACAAAAATAACACGTACCTCAAAGAGTTGTTGTGAGGATCAGATGAGATATTTGTAAAGCACTTAGCATAGTGGCTGGCACACAGTAGGTGCTTAATAAATGCTTGTTTCCTTCCTTAAGTGACTCACCCAAGGTAGTTATGTGGAAGACATAAGCCTTCTGACTTCAAGTTCAGCCCTCAGAATCACATCAGCTTCCTGGACTTGTCAACCCTGAAGAGGCAGGCCATCTGTGGGAAAGTGACTGCCCACTTAGTTGTACCTACAATACTCATGGCTCAGTTCTGGCGGCCAGGGCATCACTGTCCTAAAAGTGCACATGTTTGCTTTTGGAGCCATTTTCCGAGGGTGTCTGTGATCATCTGTGTCAGGGTTGTGTAGTGAGGGCCAGCCCCTTGATGGAAAATGCCTCATGTCATTTGCTTTGCATCAGGCCTGGCACGGTCTCCCATCCAGGTGGCTCCTTGTAGAGGAGGTAAGGATGAGACCAGGGGCTCCTGTTAATCCTCTGGACCCTCAGTCTTTGGGCTGAGTCTGTAAAAGTTACCAAGTAACCTTTTTTTTCTTAATGAGAGAGAAGAGGTGAGCACTAAGGTTGTTTGTGTTTCTGGATGGAGAAAATACAATATGTAGCGTGAGGGATGGAAGACAGATTCCCAGATTCTGTTTTGGAATTACAGTTTGTTCATAACTTCCTGCTGCATGGAAGGGTCTTCAGGAGGTCACTTAGTCTTGTTTCTGTTTCTTCCCTGCCCCCCCCCCCCATATTCGTTTATTTATTTAGGTGGAACGGCAGAGGTGGGCAGCAGGAGGACTCAGTTACGTGGCGTTTCCTCAGCCTCCGACTTCCTAACTGCTGACACTCCCCAGACAAAAGCCGTGCCGTCCAATCTCTGCCCACATTACACGTCCAGAATGGTCACCATTTCTATTTCTTGAACAAAGCAACCTATTGAAAATTTTAAAGTTGTCCATGAACAGAAATCCCGCATATAAACAAAAGGGCACATAACCAAGGTCAAAATTGCTGCTGGAAGCATGCAGAAGCTGCTGTCATATTCCAAACATCTCCCCCATTCTCCTTCAGCTCCTTTTCCCTGTCATTCTTGGTATGCCACCTTCCTTCCAACTTCACTGAGAAGTATCCTTCCAACATCTAGAATTGGACGGTGTCCGGATGGTTCCCTGTCATTGGAAGTCTTCAAGCACAGATTGGAGACAAAGTATGACAGAATTTTACCTTCAGTCAATCAATAAACATTTATTAGACATCTGCTATATATCAGGCATTGTGCCAAGTGCTGAGGGATGAAAAAAGAGGCACAAGAAAGTCCCTGCCCTCAGAGAGTTTATAATCCTATGAATATTTCCTTTAATATAGCAGATGATTTCATTAACTAATAGAATTACCCATCATTCTGCTAGCTCCTATACAGCTTGCAGCCCAATATGACTTCCATATTAACTGTTGTCCAACAGTGCCTTCCCCATACTTCCTAAATTCTCCTTGTACAGTGGATGTTTTGAACCCAAGTCTAGGGCTTGGGATTTATCACGATCATTTCCCTTTTTGTTAGATTCCATCTATCATTCTAGCCTGCTGGAATCTTTTTGGATCCCAGTTCCATCATACGGCATGTTAGCTAACCCTTCCAATTTTATGTCCTCTCCAAATTTAATGTGCCTACATTACATCTATGCCTTCATTTAAGTTCCTGATAAGAAGATTCAGCAGAACATGGTGAACTTCTTCCAATGGAAGACCCCTGGATTTGCAGTAGAGGATCTGGGTCTAAATTCTGAGGGAGTGATCTTGAGCAAGTCTCTCTAACTTCCCTGGGCCTTAGTTTCTTTTTCTGTAAATGGAGGGGGTCGAATATATGGCCTCTGAAATTCATTCCAGCTCTAACCCTATCATTTCTTCTTTCTCTGAATTAAAGCCCAGGACAGATCCCTGTAACATTCCCCTCGACCAGTGATCACTGGTCGTTCAATCTGATTGTTCAACCTTTTCTGAATCCATTAAACTCAGCTGTCTCCTAGCCCACATCTCTGCATCCTGTTTATCCCACCTTTTGGGAGAAGCTTTGTTAAATGCAGTTTTGAAATTCAAGTATTCTGTGTGACAAGGGAATTCTGTGGACCCACAAGTCTAGCAACATTGTTAGAAATAAAATAATAAGGGGCAGCTAGGTGGTGCAGTGGATAGATCACCAGCCCTGAAGTCAGGAGGACCTGAGTTCAAATCCGACCTCAGACCAAACACTTGACACGTACTAGCTGTGTGACCTTGGGCAAGTCACTTAACCCCAATTGCCTCATTAAAAAAAAAGAAAAAAAAGAAATAAAATAATAAAGTGATATGAGTCTGGCACGCCTATTCTTGGTGAGCCCTGACTGGCTCTTAGTGGACACTTTCCTTTTCTGAATGCTCATAAACCATCCCTTTAATGATGTGTTCCAGAGTGTACCATGAACAAAGTCAAACTCTCCAAGGTCACTCCCTGGTAGTCTTGGGCTTGCCCCTTCCCACTCCCTGCTTCTGGACTTCCTGGTCACCAGATGTGGTGACTTTTCTAAACCCTTTATTTTCCTTATCTTTCCCCACCCCCCTTTTTAAAAATAGCATTTCATGCTGAAGAAATAGAAGGATGGTGCAGAAGCTCCATGCTGGTTTATTATGGAATGCATTTCTCTAAACCCATATCAAGCCTGTTTATGTTGTTGGCCTCCAGCACCTCTAATAGGAACAAGTTCCTCAATTTTATTCCTTGATATGTTTTTTTTTTTTTATCTTAAAATGAGCTCTCAGCTTTCATGATCACTCTTTAGCTCTTGTTCACGGATTTATTGGCTAATTGGGTCCATGCTCTCTCTCCGCTTAAGCCCATTGAAATTCCATGAGCATAAGAAATGTCCCTTCTGGGCTTTCAGCCCTCTACTCTGCAGGGGCCTTTTCTTTTTTTTTTTTAAATTTGATGAGTGTATCATCATAGTGAAACCTCTCTTTGGGACCTTCCCCAGCTCTTTTGCCTTTTTTTGAGATGCAGCAGCAGCTGGAATGTCTGTGGGGTTGCAGGTGTGTGTATAGCTGGCCACTGGTTTTGTGTACGGAAGGAGAATAGTTTCTGGTTTGTTTTTCAAACCCTCCAGGGAGAGAGGAGAGAGGTGGCACTGTGTTAGGTTGGTCCTTTTGGCTGAAAAGTTCAGTTTGATTCAATTCAATAAATGTTTGCTAAGAACTATATGCGAGGGTTGTGTCCTGCTTATAAAGATGACAGACATGATTCCTGCTCAGGTAGCTTGCAGTCTAAGAAGTGGAGGGAATGTAACATGTATGTAG